TTTCAAGATCTGCACCCCATTTCTCATTGTGGAGGGGGTGAAGCAAAGCAAGGGGGTGTTGGGGTAGGGGAGAGTCCATGGGGTGAGGGGCAACAATGGGCTTTCATAGCAAAAAATTATTAAACAGGCAGAGAGAATGGGCAGCAAAAGTGGAAACGGGAGTAGTAATAATGGCTTGAGTCTCAGTTTCTTCATCTGTAAAATGAAAAGATAGGATGAGATCAGTGTTTCCAAGCTGTCAACTGGAAAACTGTTTGCATTTTCTTTATGAGATCTAAGGTGAGAAGAGAAGAAAAGAAATGACAGAGGAAGGAGTAAAAAAAAAAAAAGTATATCATTGTTTCTAAGGAGCAGGGCAACAGTAGAGATAAACAGTTCCTTCCTTTCCTTCCTTCCTTAATTCCTTCCTTCCTACCTCCTCCTTTTTCTCCTCCTCCTATTTCCCTTTCATTTTAAGGGACAACAAATGCTTAAGCTTTGAAAAAGAATAAATTCAGCTCAACAAACATTGATGGGATAGCCCCCAATGGTTGCGGTGCTACATGTTAAGAATCTGAGAATGACTAGGATGTGTGGTCTACGGCTCCACTGAATCCTGTAGCCTCGAGGCAGACGGAGAGAATAGTATGATAATTTCAGTACAGTGTGGTGAGTTCTGTGGTACAGGAAGCTAGTGGGTTATGGGAGCTCTGAGAAAGTATATGCTGAGGCTTGACGCATGTCCAGGAGTTAGCCAGGCAAGGAGAAGAGAAGGGCAGTTACCTGCTCGAAACAACCACCCAAGCAATCCTGGTTATTGCTCTGAATCGTTCCTGAGGCAGAAACATGGAAGTCATTTCAAATCGTTAGCTTGGCACGGTTTACTTTGGACATGCTCATCACTAAGTACATATTTTTCTAGGATTTGCAAGGAGATGAATTTCCCTGTGTGCCCTGCTTCAGCCTGTCTGCTCAGGGTGTTTATTTACTGTGCTTTATTCCATAGCCTAGCAGGGTGTCACAGCTGGAGGCAGCTGGTGGTAAATAAATAGCTTCCATTACCCAATCCCATCACCACCCTCATCCTGCTTCAAAAACAGTTTCAGCCCATAGGTTCCTCACCCTCAAATCCATCCTGAAGTGTCAAAGACCCGTGGAGTTGCAAGAATGTTTCCTTTGAAAACAATGAAATTGAGAGGTAAAGAACAGTTTAAGACACCATGGAATTTGAAGTCTAAGAAGATAGTTCTCAGGAAAGCCCAATCAATCATACAGGCGGGCTTCTTCATAGGGAAACAGATACAAATCGACCTAAACAAATCACACCTCTCATACTACAGTCTGCCCTGAAGGTGCTTTGTGGACAGTCTGCCAAAGCATGACTTGGGTGGGTCTCTCCCATGTTCTTTGCTTTCACATATTTTACTTCATTTGGTGATTTCTGTATTAGTCTTGTCAAGCCAATAATGACTGCTTGCACAGTGTGAGCCTGCTTCCTGCCTGCCGGAGCACCTGTGTAGGAGAAACTCTGGAGTAGACTCACAGTTCACCATCCCACCAGCTACACTGGAGAAAGGAAGGAGAGGACTTCCCAAGAAGAGAGCCCAGCCTCTGTGATGCCGGTTCTTTACCTCATCAGAATCACAGGCTCCAGTTATATACGATGTAAGGCCTGTTCCTTCTGCCTGGTCTGACAGCAGGGGTCTCGTGGTGTATAGGGACTGAACTCTGATTTCTTGTTAGAGGAGAGGGAGAAAAGCCTTACATTCCTGACTCAGCAAACTGCAAGGAGGCTCTAAAAAGAAGGCTAAGAGAGAACAGAGATAAGAAAGGGATCTGGGATGGGGCGAGGGAGACGGAGGGAGGGAAGGGAAGGAGGAAGTAAAAAGGATCAAGATGTAGTAGGTATATGAGCCAATAGCCCCGATGATACATTCATTATGTATCACAAACATATACTAATGCAATTTTTTAAAAATTAGAATATTAAAACCTATCTGGCCCTGGATGCAATAGTACCCACTGAGATTATTTGACACATATTAAAGGCCAAAGTATTTATCTGAAGGAGGAAAACTTTGAATAAGTATAATTTTCATGTGACTTTCAGGTTCTTCCTGAATCAACTGACCTGCAGTAGTGCGATGCAATAGAGGAGCTAATATAACTTTATCATTCGGAATTTTTCTTTCAGTTTATCCACTTATTCACAGGTGCAACCAAGTAGCCTTTCTTAAGTATTAGTCCCCTCACCTGCCCTGGCTCTTTCTTCCTCTTCTGAGCATTTCTCAGCATTGCTCATTTTAAGTTATTTCCATGTATTTGTATCCTGTGTTATCCTACACAATATTTCAGCAAGTGCACACCTACACATTCCAATGGACTATGTGGGAACTGCCTTTTTGAAAGATTTTTGGACCCTAAACCTCAAATGACTTGTTTAGTTTTTTGATCAACAAACAAGAGCACTTGTGTTTCCATGGCTACACTGTAGGGATGATTTGTGCTTGCGGGGGTGAGTAATGTCTCCCAAGCCCTCCTCTGTTGAAATCTTAATCCACTCACATTATGCACTTAGACCCAGCTGGGGGAAGCAGAGACCCAGGAAGCCTGCCAGATGTTTACACTGCCTTTTCATGAAAAGCTAGGCTTTTTATTTGTGTTTGCTTATTTGTTGAACTGTGGACGAAAAGTTTGAACAAGACCCATTCCAGAGCAGCGGAGGGCAGAATGTTAAGAGGGCCTGATGAAGATGTGGTTGATCTCTGTGGGGTAACAGCCTGGTTCTCTGAGGCCTTGAGGGGCGGGTGGTGCCAGATCCTAATTCTGGATCTGTCACTTGCATGTCTAGGTTGTGTAGTTTGGGAGAAAGCCACAATTCTCAGGAAATGTGATATAGTTTGTAACATAAGTGCTTGAATTAAACAGTTTGAAGCTTGAATCCTAGTTCCACTCTGAGGAAGCCACAGCCTATCTCTGGAGCCACGGTTTCCTCATCTATAAATGAAGAGCCTTCCTAATGGACTCATGAGAAATGAAGGGTACAACCTCAATGAAGCTTTTAACAGCCAGGGCCTGGCTCAGATCCTTCATTTCCAAGTACCTCAGAGAAACTTTTCTTGCTCTGATGTTTCTGGAATCCACGGTGGTACCAGGATTTCTCCAAGACCACTGCTTTCCCAGCCAGCTCCCCTTTTCTTGGCCACGGGCTCCTTCTCAAAGCTTTCCTTGTCTTTTCTTGTTGCTGTGACAATTCAAGTGCCTACTAGAGGAAGCCTTTCTCTACGTGAACAAACATGTTGACGGTGTGTATGTGTCTTGGACCAGGAGCTGGGGCCTGTGTAACAGGGGAAGAATTTCCGCTGAGTTACGAAATTAGCCACTGGCATTTGGACAGTGGAGGGATGAAAATGCAAGGGAATACATTTGGGATTTTTCTTCAGTCTTTCGCTGGGACTGTTAATGCTGGACCCCTCACCCAAGGCATCCTTTCCTTCTTCGTGGTACCCTCTGTTCTGTGACAGACAGGACGGTGAGGAAGGAAAGGAATTACTTTCTGTAAAGGAATGTCCATGTTCCAGCGTGAGTCTGTGGCTGCTGTCTGAATCTTGGTATCGTAGGACAGTGTGAGAGTTAAGAGCCTAGACTCTGGCTTCAAATCCCAACTCCACTGCTGAGTGAAAATGGTGCTGATTCTGCTCTGCATTAGTTTCCTCACACTTGAGATGGCAACTCTCTCATTGCTTGCTTTAAGGCTTACATAAGAGCTAGATAAATAGACGAATAGATGATAGATAAGCTAGAACAGTGCTCAGTGCATAGATTACAAAGTAAGAGTCTACTGTCATTGTAATCATCATCATCATCAACTCCTTTGCCTATAAAAGAGATGATGATAACTCCGCTTGAGTTTTTTATCATTTGCCTTTTGGTACTGGGGCTTGAACCCAAGAGTGCTGAGCTACATCCTCAGCCTTTTGAAAAGCTTTAAAAAAGCATTGATCCATGTATGCAACAACGTGCAGTTTACATCGTCTTGGGGAGTGGGTACAGGCACATGAAACAGCTTGATTCTTTTCTTTAATCCCCTTCTCTGCTACCTTCCTCCTCCTTCTGTAAAGCCCCTTTTCCAATTTTTATTCTTGCTGACATTATTAAACTTATGCTTATGACATAAAATGTTTCCATTCATTGAGGTTATTAGGCTCCCGCCCACGGCCTCTCTTCATTGGTATCTATACATAAAAGAATACTACTTGGCTGCGGAGAAGGACAGATTTGAGACATTTGTTGAAACATGGATGCACCTGGAAAATACAATGTTTAGTGAAACGAATCAGACACAAATGTTTAAATGCCATACATCTCACTTAATTGAGTAAGGCAAAGTACAAAGAGTGCAACAAGAGGTGGATAGGAGACAAAGGGATAGATCTCTTAGCTTTTTATCTTGAGACAGGCTCTTGCTAACTTGCCCAAGCAGGGTTCAAACTGACCATCCTCCTGCCTCAGCCTCCCAAGTAACTGGAATTATAGACATGTACCACCACAAGCAACTACAATTCTTTTCAGGTAAAGTATTTCCTTTTCTTTATAATCTCAGCTAAGCTCAGCTTCTACTAATTTTCTTTATACTGTAAGATTTTTTTAACTCCCCAAATGTTACTAGGGCAAGATATAATAAATACAAATCATGAAATTAGTATCACAGAATGTGGAGTGTAATAACATTAGAATGAAATCATCTTTAGTTGATTGAAAGCAAAGCTATAAGAATGATAGGATTGAAAACAAAGCAGAAGAAATATTTCTTTCAAGAGTAACAATTAAGTCAAGAAGATTAATATCATGTTTGCTTCCTTTCTGCCTTTCTGGTAAATACAGACATGCGAAGCCAACAAAGGTAACACTTTTGCACCTAGCAGTACTTGTTGATGGAAAATGTGTTAGACCTATCTGGCCTCATTTGCTATGAACCATGATTTAATAAAATAATCGTATTTCTTGATCTCATAGCTGACCTCTGGTCCCCTCAGTTTCTGATCCGTCCAATCCAATTCACATTGTTTATCTCCTTCCATCTTCAGATCCTCACCATGTGACACCTAACAAAAGGCAAATAAGTGCTGACTGTAAGATTATTAAAATCATAGTTTAATATTTTTAAGTTCAGAGCCCAGATCGAATCTTTCTTTGCTTGCATCTTTCCAGGCCCATTCTTCCAAGTCATTTGCTGTGGGCTAGTTTTGTTTGTTTGTTTGTTTGTTTTTGTTTGTTTGGGGTGCCAATAAAAACAATAGGGGAAGCCCAGTTTTCTCATTGATCAAGACTTCTCATGGTGTCCCACACCAGTAATCCCAGCGCTCTTGGAGGTTGAGGCAGGAGTGTTACAAGCTGGAGCCCAGTCTGGGCAACTTAGTGACTTAGGTAGACATTGTTTCAAAATTAAACAACAAAAACAGAAGGATTGAAGATGCAGCTGAGTGTGAAGGCCCTGTGTCAATCCCCAGTGTGATAAAAATATAAACAAAACTCCTGCGGGTCACAGAAATCCATTCTTACCTTCCAGGTGCTCATTCCGTCAAAAGCCAAGTTTTTATTTTTGTTTACGAATACAGCTAGATGACATTTCCCGGTCTCTCTTTAATTAGCCGTGACCATGAAACTCCCTGCGAACTGAGTGTGAAGGCTCCACCCCCAGACCTGGCCTCACCCCTCCCACACACACTCCTCCACACCCCTTCTCTCTCTGCCTCCGAGATGTGCACACCTGGGCCAGGCTTGGGAGCCACACAGCAAATATACCAAACTACCATCAGTCGGGAGGACAGTGGCCCTGAACTATTAGGTGAGCAAGAGATACCTTTTAATTGTGTTAGGCCACTGGAATTTGGTCTGTTCTAATAGTCCAGCCTAATGCAATGTAGGACATATAAACAAATAGAATCTTTTGTGCTGCAAACTCTGTCCACTAGTTCAGCTGAGCTACTGAAAATACAGTCGGGAGGGAGGTCCAGGAAACTAAAGCTTTTTTCTGTCCTCTAAGCACCAGAAATACTATTTAGCAAGGGAAAGGTGTATTGCAAAATTCTCTGCACATAATTCATCCTAGAAGCCCACAGTGCTCAGTATTTTGATCCCTGTTCAGCAGATGAGGCTTCTGTAACCAAGAAAGGTGGTTTCACTTGGGCAGTAGTAAGAGGACTGAGTTCAAAGGAAAAACAGGTCACTTCTGTAGTTCTTTACCGTGCTTGTTCACTGGGACATAGCCAGTTGCTTGCTCAATTCTAACCATGTTTAACATGAACAAAGAAAGCACCCTCCAAGTTGATAAGTAAATCGGTTTTGTTTCTAGATGCTTTCACTGAACCGTCTTTCGTTCCGTTTTGAACCTCATGCATGTGAAGTGATGTGAGACATCTCCACTCCTGCAGATGGTGAGGAGCATGCGGGGAGCCCCGAGGCAGGGCAGAGCAGCTGAGCGCAGATTTCCTGGCACTTTCCAAAGTTCATGGCCTTCCTGGCCTCTGTCATGCCCTTCGAAGCAAATGCCTTGTCTACATTCCTTGGTCTTTCTGTATAAACGAAACACCCTAACCCATTTATGCAACTTTCAAGAGCTCTTTATAAACACATAGCTTTCCCCCACTTGTTTTAGTGGTGTGCTGGGGTACAGAAGCCGGGCTTCCTCTCTCCGGGTCATCTCAGGCTCATCTCTACTTTGGTTTCACCTTCCACAAGAGAACGAGTTGGTCTAGGGCTGCATCTTTTAATTTTTCTACCACCAAAAATACCACTTTATATAACTTTGATATTAAGGACCCCTGAATTTGGCAAAATTAGAAAACATATCATCTTCAATGCCTAGTGCAGCACGATGCCAGCACAAAGCTGGGTTTTGCTAAATATTTGAAGACACTCAGGTCTACAAAATGTCACCAGTCAGGAGGGCCCTCCACCAAATGCTTCAAATGTTCGCCCCTCCTAGCACATGGTGGGGTTGCACTGCCCAAGCCCTGTGCAGCCTCACTGGGATATTCTGGTAAGAGATCGGTAAGAACAGTTCACCGCCAATGCAGGATCCTCAGGAGTTCTCCTCTCCCTCCTTATGTACAAAGGTCAGCCTGGGTCCTGGAGTGGGGCCACAGTGCAGAGCACAATACTCCTAGCCAACCTAGTGGAAACCAACGTGAGCCTTTGCTGCTCTAAGGCACTGATGTTTCTCTTGTTAAAATCATGCAACTCACCCTGTTCCAACTGAATCAATAAATCAAGTCAGAGCCTCTAGCAAGAAAGAGCAAAGTGGTGTCACTCATTAGACTGATAAATCCCAACCCAAATCAAGGTATTATGATAATCACAGCAGTAGCAGTGACAATGAGGATGATTTTATTCCACTTAAGATAAATATAATTGATTTCAGGCTTTTAAACATCGGGCATAACTTCAGATGTGCACGACTACTTTGGCTCTGCTTTTTATTCTTGGTTTGCACAGTTCAATACCACGGGCCTCGTGTATCTCAGAGGCGTTCTGGGGTGCATTTGTTCTTTGGCACCAGATACGGTAGTAACTTATTTGACCTCTTTGGATCTCAGTTTCCCTACTTATAAAACAGGAACAGCAAATAACACTGTAGCAGAGCTGTCAGGACTATCACCTGAGATGTCACATACGTGTGTGGATCGCTCCCTGATAACTCCGTGTGTAGGTGGCTTCCTGAAGGAATCAGGCACCTGCCAGCTTTCAGTAAGTGACCCCAAGTGACAATGCACTCAGAAAGGCCAACTTCTCCTCCTTGTTCTTATATTATGGTTTCAAACAAAATGAGCAAAAATTATTTTTAAATTGATACATAATAATTGTATGCAGATATTTTAATTGACAAATGAAAAGTCTCTACATCTATGGGATGCAATGTGCTATTTTGGCAGAGGTTTACATTGGGGAATGATTAAATCTAGTTACTTAACATACCTGTCATCTCACATGACAAAGAGATAAAGCACAAGGCAGGCCTTCATCTGTGACTAAGCCCCCTCTCCCCGACTTTTTGCCGTAGGATGTTCTGTTCAAACAATGTAACTGTTTGTACTGTGGGATATCCCTGCCCAATGTATCAAAACGTTCTTTGAAAGCAACATAAATGTTTGTTCCGGGATCTCTCTAAGGTTTCAAAGATGTTCTGTTAACTCCACCCCTCAGGCTCACTGAGTGTGCTGACCTGGTAGATGGGCTCACGCCCCTAACTGGAAGATATCTGTATAAGGCTGCTTTCATTGCTATTTGGGGCTCAGACACAGGAGTAAGAGCTCCATCTCTCTGAGTGCTGCTCGACTTCTTTGCCACCAGAGACCTTCAGATAGCTGTAAGCCTTGGCTGCAACACAGAGCTGTAACACTTGGCTGTAATGCTGAGCTGTTGCACTTTGCTCTAACACACATACTTATCTCTTTGTGGTGAGAACACTGAAAACCTACTCTTTTAGCAACTTTGAAATATAAAGTACAATACTAGTGACCATAATCACCCTGCTATGCAATAGATCCCTTGAACTTGTTCCTCCTCTCTAACTGTAACTCTGTATCCCTTTAGCATCTGTGTTCCCTACCTGCCCCCATTGTAACCTCTGCTAACACCATCTTACTCGCTATTTCTATGGTTCAACTTTTTAGATTCTACATAGATGTGAAGTGATACAGTATTTATGTGTCTGTGCCTGGCTTATTTCACTAGCGTGCTATCCCAAGGATTCACCTGTATTGTAGCAAATGACAGAATTGTTTCTTTTTAAAGGCAAAATAGTATTCCATTGTGTATACATAGCTCCTTTTCTTAGTACACCTGAATGCTGATGGACATTTAGATTGTTCTTGTATAACTAACAACAGCACCTCCTTTTCTTCTCAAATATTCCTGCTTGGAGAGGAACTGAATGATCATGGTAGCTCTGGGCACTGCAGTGCTGTGGTCTGAACTGCATGGCATCAGGATCCCTGTAGCTGCCTTCCTCTTGGAGGTGCCTTTGGTCACTTGGAGACTATTGTCGCTTGTGAAGTGTTTCAGACAGACTTGATTTATCTTGTGCTTTCCACATCAGTGTGCTGTCTCCTCCTCTGTCAGGGTCCTGGAATCACAGGCCAGGAAGGGCCCAGAAGCCATTTGGTCCAGTGCATTAGCTTTCCAAGCCTGAGGTGCAAGGCAGTGTGCTTTGAGCATCACCATAGTGAGCAGGAAGGCCACTGTCATGTCTCCATCTTGCCTTCCTTATGCTCTGATCTGGCAAATGAGTGCCTGAGTTCTGGGACAAAGTTGCAGGTTCAAGTCTCTGTTTTGATACATGCTAGGCACTCTTCACCTGCGGTGTGCAGATGATAGTGTCTACCTCCTATAGCTGGTGGGAGTGGACGCATTCACAGCACGCATTGAGCACATGTGCAGAAAGAGGTATCTCCCTTCTGCTGTTGTGACCAGCTTCAAAGTCCCAGCCACCCAAATCATCTTCTGTTAGACACTGCTGGAATAATCCTTATTCTCAAGGGGTATATTGTCTGCACTTCTTTACAAACTGTTTACACCTGGCCTATTTTATTGTAAAAGTAGAGGTAGGAAATAGCTCAGGAGAGCCATTCCCTTCCATAATATGCTATTCAAATCTAAGAGTTAATGTTTGTGACCCAGACTTTCACAACCAGACTGCCTGTGTTCAAATCCTACTTCTGCCGCTTAACAGCTAGGTAGCTTGAGGAAATTCCATCACTATTTTATAACCCAGTTTGCCCATCTATAAAATGGTGGCTATAAGAATTCTTGCCCCATATAATATACATAGAACAATGTGCAGCATGTCATAAATGTTGTTCATCTAAAATTATTTTTGCATATGTTATTTACTTTGTCTCATATCTTTATGCCTTCTATATTTAGTTAAATGATGGTCATTGTTTCTATCATGATTTTTTTTTGTACCATGAATCATACTAAGGGCCTTTTGATTGCCAGGCAGGCATTGAACTGCTAAGCTACATTCCCAGCCCAGATGATTTGTTTTTGTTCACTCTTGTTATTGTACAAACAGTATTCATTTTTGTTATTATAAAACAGTACCAAGAAATCTGAGTCATCTCCAAACCCAGTGTCTCATTGAGCTGTCTGCTCATCTTCCTTTATGTTCTCTGGAAGTTGCTGACAATTCATACTCTTGAACTTTATTTGGCTATATTAGCTTACTTCTTTTTCTTTACCATTTCAGTGCAATATTAAATTTGTGGAAAATTTGCAAGAATAATGCAAAGAACTCTTGGATAATCTTTCCTCAGATTTCCCAAATGTTGTTATACGTGCTGTACATTTTTCTCTTTCCCTCTCCAATGTTTGCAGAAACATTTGATATTAAGTTGCAGATAGAATAATCTTTTATCTGCAGATGGCTGAATGTGAATTGCCTAAATATAAGAACATTCTTTCATATGAACACAATATAACTATCAAAGTTAGGAAATTATCATTGATACAATACTACTATCTAATCTACAGACCCTATTAAAAAATTCCCAACTATCTCAATATTGTCCTTCTCGTAAATCATAAATGAATTTTTAATTTTTCAATTGAGTGTAAGGTGCACAACATGTTTAATAAACACTATAGGTAAGCAATTTAATTTAATATAACCATCTCCTTCTATAGTTACTTTTTAAAAAAATTATGAATGGAAAGAATACTGAAAATCTACTCTTTTAGCTACTTTTCATAAGTTTATATTATTAACTATAGCCCTCCTGCTAAACATTAGAACTCTAGTTTAGCCCATGCAGCTTCAAGTTCATACCCATAAAACTGGAAAAAAGAAAAGCAATATGGCCCAGTCATATTCTAAAGAACCCGCTTCTTAATATTATCACACCAGCATAAGCTTTCAACATTTGAATTTTGGAATGCATTCAGATCATACCAGTTGCCAAATGGTGATTTTCTAAGTCTAGTTTTGTTTTGTTTTTTAAATTTGTGTTATTTGGCTCTCTGCTGTAAGGAAGAACTTTCCTTTCTCTACCACTCACATTCAGATCTGTGCGAACTCATGCATATGCTCTTTTTTCATTTAGTCTGTATCTTGATGTGTTTATTTTGATGCTCAAATTGTGGCACTCATTATTTTTCCAAGTGTATTTCAAAGACTATGTCCTCTAGAATCTTGGTTCAGGCCACTAAGGCCAAAGCCTAGCTCCATCTTCAAGCTCTTCTGTTCACCTCTGTTCCCTTAATGCGTAGCATGGTGGCTGGTGGTGCTCAGAGGACCGCAGTTCATCGTGTTAAACCATAAATAGATGGAAGAAAGAGAAATCCAGACAGACACAGCCAAGAGTGATGTTAAAGCACCTACCAATTTGC